CCCAGGAAACAGGTTCAGAGAACCCAGATTAACATGGGGTCACACAGCAAGGTGGTGGAGATTCCTTGAGGGACTCTAATTTCAGGGTTCAGGCTTTGAAGTCACATTTATTGAACGTCTACTACTATGTGCTGGCAGTGGGGAAGGCCCAGCTCATTGTGGGTGGGACCACTGTTACAGGTTTTCTTTTGGGCCATCAACTAGTTCCCAAATCATGACATGGAGACTTATTAGTTATGAATGCTCAGCCTTATCTTATGCTCATTTATTGCTAGCTCTTATAACTTAATTTAACCTGTTTCTCTTTATCTATGTATTGCCTCTGGGCTTTGTACCTTCTTTCATTCTGTATGTCCTACTCCATGGCTGGCTGGCTGGCTGGCTGGCCCCAGGAATCTCCCTCATTTTCTCTCCATTCTTCCTCTTCTCCCAAGCCTAGATTCTTCCTACTTATTCTCTCTACCCACCAACTGTCCTATTCCTCTACTGCCTAGCTATTGGCTGTTCAGCTTTTTATTAGATAAATCAGGTCCCTTAGTCAGGCAAGGTGAAACAGCAACACATCTTTACATAATTAAACAAATGCAGCATAAACAAAAGCAACATACCTTTACATAGTTTAAGTAATATTCCATTACAGGCCACCATTCGGCTAGTTGTCTTGGATTCTATAAGAAAGCAGGCTGAGCAAGCCATGAGGAGCAGGCCAGTAAGCAGCACCCATCTGCATCAGCTCCTGCCTCGAGGTTCCTGCCCTGCATGATTGACTATAAACTAGCTGTAAGATGAAATAAACCTACCTGACATCCTTGGGAGTAGGGTGTAGGAATGGAGTAACAGAAGGAGGCATTGATGGTCAGGATGAGGATCAGGGAGGTTCTGGGCAGCTAGGGCCCGGGCCACGGCTCAGCAGCCTTCCTTCTATAACGGACTAAGCTTCAACAACTCAGCACTGGGGAGCACATGTCCTTTCCAGACAGGGAGGAGTCACCTGTGCCCAGCAGCCAGCCTAGCCCACCTCACACAGTTTGTCATACCCTGAGCCCTCGGCAGCAGGAATGGTCTCTTCCCTACCCTCCTTCCTCTGAGCTGTTCCTTTCTCGCCTGTTCCCATGACCCTAGAGTCTAGGAAACAAAGACCCGGCAGCTTATCTACAGCAGGGCCAAGTAATGAATGACCCTAGCGTCACGGTTGACAAAATGAAAACTAAACAAAAACAAAAACAAAAGGCAAGCCCCATTCCTATGCTTGCTGGGGAAGAACTCCTATAAACTCAGATTCCTATAGACTGTTTTGTTCAGGTTTGGTATATAGTTAAGGGTGAATGACTGGGAACTTCCCATCTTCACCTCTGGAGGGCTGGGATTACCAGCATGTGCCAGCCACCAAACTCAGCCTAAACCTCCTTTCAGTTCACTCTGAAAGTACCCATTTCATCTTAATTAGAAGATTTGGGAACCGAGACCAGCTGGTGATTTCCTCATTATTAGGTTGTTACCTTGAAACAGTATTATTTTATAACCCTGAGCAAACGACCTCGCCACAGGAAGTGCCTCTGTGAAAGTCATTTCTTTGGAGGTGCCAACCCCTTTTCCATGCCTGCCCTCTGCTGGCAGCTGCTCCCTGCTTTCTTCTACATCCACAGTCATTCTGGGTGGAACTCCCTTCTCATACCCTGGGCTCCCCAGCTGTCTTCACTGAGGGACATCCTCAGGACCACCACCCACACCCTCACTCACTTCTCTAAGAACACCAATCTTGCCACTCTTGCTCCTACTCAATGGCTGCGTAGCACCTACAGAAAAGGTCCAAATTCTTTAGCCAGCATCTAGCATCTTCCATAATCTGCCCCCCATCGTCTTTATGAAATGCTACCATATTATTCTCTAGTCTCCCATGCTCTTTCTGTCCACTCGCTGTTACACGGGCACAGCTCGAAAAACCAGGTGCGTCCAGGAGCCCACATCAGAAAGGATGGAGCACCTTCACTCCTGCTACTCTGGCCTGGAGTCTGTTCTGTCCACAGATGTCTGGAAACTCTAGAAGGATGTCCAGCAGGGTCTTCAAAGGTTCAGGAAAAGAAAAAAGTTAACTGGGGCTGAGGACTGAACTCATTCAGTAAGAGCACTTGCCATGCAAGCACATGACCTGAGTTTGAACCAATAAACTCACATGAAAAAAACTGAAAGCACAGCATGGTAATGTGAGTTTACAATCCCAGTTCTGAGAGGGTGGAGACAGGCAGATCCCTAGGGCTTGTTAGCCAGCTAGACTAGCCTCACTGAGCCCCAGGTCCCAGGGAGGCACACATCAGGTAGACTGGCTCTCCTGCCTCCTGCACCCAAGAAGCCGATTCAGTGTCAGGACTACACAGCCACATGGCCACTCTTCTGGACACCCTTGATGTCCTCCTGGGCTAGATCTTCACTCTGACCCCTAGAAACAAACACTGTTCACTGTTTGGAGTTCACTGTCCCATAAAAGCTGTCAGGGGGCAACCTTGTGAGGCTGGTTCTCTCCTTCGGCCTTTCTGTGGGTTCTAGAGATTTAACCTAGGTCATCAGGCTTACACAGGTGCCTTTATCTGTTGAGCCTCACCAGCCCCTTCTGGGTTAGGTAATACTTTATTCCATAAAATAGAATGTGTTCCTGGAGAATGCTGTTTTAACTTCAAAGCATTGCAGATCCAGGTGAGGCTGGTAAGAACCATAAAAGAAATAGCCACTGTTAACTCACAGTGGCCCTAAAAGGTCCCAGGGCACTCAGTTGGCACACTTCATATTAAGTAACACAATGAATAATACCTAAGTGCTAGGACAGGGGCAGGATGTCCAGGATCCCAATGGCAGGACATTTCAGCTCTACAGCAGACCCAGCCTGCCCCCGGCCTCACCCTGCACCCTGAACATGACATGACATAGTGTCACCCTGAGGAAGTAGGCTATAACCTACTAATACCCAGAGGAAGTAGGCTATTCTGTTGGAGAAGGAAGGAGGGAGGTAAATCTGAGGTTGATGATACTGTATAGGCAGCCAGCCAGGCAGGGGCCTGGACCAGAGGACCAAGGACTGGCCCAAGCACAGGACAGTGGCAGAGTCACATAGTAGAAAAAGCCTGTTGGTTAAGTGTAGTCCCAAGACAAATGCAGAGATCAGGCATCAGAGTGAATGAAGGGAGGCAGAGTGTAGGGACTATCTCAGGGCCTGGGGGGAGGGTGGTCACAGCTCAAGCACCTTGCCAATGGGAAGCAGCCCCTATGGGAAGCAGGTAGACAGTAGGTTAGCCCTGGAATAGTTTACATGTATCTGGTCATGGACATAACTAGACACTGTTGTTCAGGTTTTGAGACCCACCCATCATGAAGGGAAAGTGATAGATGACTGTCATCCAGGACAGTCCCAAAGGGGTGAGCGCCTGAGTCACGGTGTAGATGATACACAGCACTGATTCGAGGCCTGCTCTGATACCACACACTTCCTCCTGGAAGTGTGCAGAGGAAACACCTGCCCCAGAATGGGATATCACCATGGCAACAATCAATCTTAGACACAAATATATTTGGCAGGGCCTTACTTACACCTAGCAACCAAGTCGTGCTTCTCAAGAGGTCTGGAGTGGGGGAGTCCCTAGCCAGGCAAGCTGACCTACTGAAGGGCTGAGGCCTATCTATCACATGTTCAAAACAGCTGAGGTTTAAGGTAGGGGGGCAAGGTGAGAAAGGCTGAGAGGTGCTACAGGTACTGAGTGAGCCTGGCAGCCAGTGTGAGCTTTGGTATGCTAATAGGCACCACAGTTAGTCATTTGTCCTGAGTTTCTTTGCAACCTGATAGTCACCACACCAGGTTCTCTCATTTTATACTGTAAGAAAGAGCCAATGGGACCACACATATCATAGCTAAGAAACATGGATGCAGGCTCCAAGTTCAGCTCTGATCCTGTCACCAGCACACAGCATTGAACCTACACAGCAGCATGGGGTACACAGAGTGTATCCTGCCTGCCCAGGAAGTCACATGGAAAAGTCACGTGCCCCAACTGCAGCCTTTTCAGAGGCTGGCTGCTATATGACTACCTCTCACCTTACATGGCCCTGGACACATTGAAGAAGACATTTACTTTATTAGCAATGACACATTAAAAACATGTATACATGTGTAGGGAGACATAGGCACACATGATGTGACATCTATTGTCCAACACAGTTAAGCACAGGGATCTTTTTAACATAAATTCCAGGTAGTGACTAACATACCAGGCCACAGGTGTCAGATGTGACTATGAGAAAGAGGCTGTCGTGTAGGACAATGGTGGCGCACACCTTTAATCCCAGCACTGGGGAGACAGAGGCAGGTAGATTTCCGAGCTTAAGGCCAGCCTGGTGTACAGGGCAAGTTCCAGGACAGTCAGGACTGTTACAAAGAAAACCCTGTCTGGCAGGGGGTGGGGGGTGGGGGGTGGGGAGGGATATGTAAAACACATGGAGAGGGGGGCAGAGGACCAGAGTTTGGTTCCCAGGACTGACTTGGGATCTTTGGATAGCCTGTAACTCCAGCTCTGGGGAATCTGGTACCCTCTTTTGTTTTCCTTCGGTGCTGTGTACACACACACATACACACACACACACACACACACACACCACACAAAACTTGATGTGGTGGCATATACCTTTAATCCCAGCACTTGGGAGTCAGAGGCAGGTGGCTCTCTGAGAGTTCTAAGCCAGCCTGGTCTATATAACGAGTTCCAGGCCAGCCAGGGACATCTATCTCAAAAAATAAAAATAAAATGAATCTTTAAAAAATGATGTTATATCACACACTGGCACTGTCATTTTCATGAGCGTATGTGATGGCATGGACTCCTCCACCTTGTAGAGCATCTTTATTTACCAGGGCTCAGGAAAGCACTCTAGAAAAAAGGAAATTCCAAAATATATGTTGAACAGAGACTGATGGAACAACTGAGGGGGAGGCTGGGGATCTTTCTTCCCACTGCTGGTCACTTCCAAGTTGTGAGAACATTTCTCCCTGAGTCTCTTGAGCGGCCTGCTCTGGGCCCCACTGGCTGGCCTGGGCGGCTTCTGAGCTCTCTCTCAGCCCCGTCACCCTGGGCCAGCTCCTCGTCGTACCTGAAATAGATCACTGGAGAATCACCAGGAGGTCTTGTTCAGGGTTGGTGGAGACATAGAGTACCCACTAGGCTGCTGCAGAACAAACATATTACCAGAAAGAGCCAACTAGCTCCAGATTATGGCCAAGCCCCTCCCCTCTCCAGCCCACAGCCTACAAGGGACTCCACTGAATACAACACAAGACCACAGAGCCCCTAAGAGAAACCAGTTAAACTGCCATCGTGAACAGTCTGTCCATCCTGGGCAGATGTCATTTTCCCAGATCTTTAGGCAGAATATGGCACTAACCTCAGAGGAGTTGTGAATGAGAAACTAGTAAGCCAGCCCAGGGTAGGGAGGGAGAGAGCGCCTGCCTGCAAACACTCCACATACCCTGTGGCGGAGGGCCTAATCCCATTTCAGACAGGGAACCAGTGTCAACAGACTGCCAGAAAGGGCTGGGTTGGGCTGGGACTCCTCCATCATGATGTCAGTGTTCTGCTACTGTTTTCCAGTTGATGTGTGTACCTCGGCCCTGAGCAGTGCTGAGGAACAGGCTGGACATCTGTCACATCTGAAGAACCGGATATAGACTTGGTGCCCATTACCAGGGCTCCTTCTTTTAGGCTCCTGAGAGTGGTGAAACATGTTATCCAGAAAAGATTGCCTCTCCTCACCAGGACTTCCTAACACCCCTGGCTCCAAATTCTGATGTGGCAGAGGTAGGGTTAACACTGGGCCTCCTGATTCCCAATCTAAGAACCAGCCTGGTCTCCAGAGCGAGTGCCAGGATAGGTTCCAAAGCTACACAGAGGGGGGAAAAAAGTGGCCATGGTCATGGTGTCTCTTCATAGTACTAGAAACCCTAAGACATCTGCTGAGCCATCTTGCTAGCCCTCGGGTCTTTTTTTTTTTTTTTTTTTTTTTTTTTTTTTTTTTTGACAGAGTCTCACTAGGTAGCCCTGGCTGTCATGGAACTCGCCATGTAGACTAGACTGACCTCAAACTTACAGAGATCCACCTGCCTCTGCCTCCTGAGTGTTGGGATTAAAGGCACTCGCTGTCATGTCTGACTTCTTTCTGGTCATTTTAAAGTGCTTTCTAGCCAGGCAGTGGTGGTGTACACCTTTATCCCAGAACTCAGGAGGCAGAGGCAGGTATCAAAAGAAACTGGCTTTTTGTTTTGCTTTGTTTTTTGAAACAGGGTTTCTCTGTAGGCTTGGAGCCTGTCCTGGAACTCGCTCTGTAGACCAGGCTGGCCTCCAACACACAGAGATCTGCCTGCCTCTGCCTCCGGAGTGCTGGGATTAAAGGCGTGCGCCACCAATGCCCGGCTAAGAGAAACTGTTTTGAAAAACCAAAAAGTAAAAGTGTTTTCTTAGGTATTAGCTTGCTGCTATTTTGCCTGAGAATCCTGAGTTACATGCAGACATTTGCACTAAGCAAACAAGTACCAAGATGCTTTGCTGTTGCAGAAGCTGAATTTTCCTGACTTCTGTGCTGGTCCAGAGCCAGACTCTGTGGGTGGTGTCAGGTCTGTGTTAGGGACTCCTCTGGTAGACGAACACTCTCTGAATGGTGCCTATGGTGGCAAAGAGACTGACACACAGGGTGTGCCAGAGTTAACCTGCTGACAGCTTTCCTCTCAACCAAGGCTATGCCTGGCACTGGTGTGGACTGTCACAACTGCATCATCACATGGATGTGTGTGTTGCAGGAGAATTGTTGGCACTGCTACCCCACTGTGCCAATAAAGCCACATTGAATCAAAGACGGAGTCAGTGATTGACTGGCCAGGATTAGCCACAGAGATGTTAGAGGGTTGAGGAAGTTGAATAGAGAACGACAGGAAGAGAGAAAGGAGGGGCTGAGGGGATTTCCAGGGTTTGGGGAATCAGAAAAACGTGGAAAGTAGGGTCAGCTGATCATCCCTCCACTGTTCCTTGGATTTATCAGGGTTTTGTTTTTTTTTTCTTCTCAGTTTCTGAGTCCTGAGTTTTTATTAATACTAGAACAATTTAGGCAAATGCAATAGATATGCCTCAGCATTAGCCTGACTATGAAGGCACAGCCAGCGCCTCCAATAGAAGAGAGCTACTTAGAGAACTTCCTCAAGGCACGAGCTTCTTCTGCTAAGGAGCAATGTGGGCCCTGCCTCCAGGAGTCATCTGTGTCTCTGTACTGTGCTTCTGAGGAAGGAATGATGTTGCCTGTCAGGCTTGGGGTTGCCCTGGTACTAGCTCCAGATGGGGAGGGGCATACACACACACACACATACAGCTTCCGTGTGGCTCTGTGCAGCTTGAAAACTAAACAAAGAGGAGCATGTGGCAGGCAGCTGGCAGTGGACTGTTCAGTTCTGGGAGAGCATCTTGCCTGTTAGGCAGCTAATGTAGACAGCCGAAAGGGCACTCCTAAGGGCTCTTCCTATTGGAACAGTTTCCCTTCCGGGTTCTGACAGTGGGATCTAGGCACTGAGTTTGGAACTGCATTTTTTTTCAAAAAGGCCAAGAGTTAATTGAGCCAAGATGAACAAGGCTGGCCTTGTGATGAGAACACCAAGGTCACAGGGACAACATGGCGTTGGTGGTGAGAGCGCCATTTCTGGGCAGTGTGACCTTGAGCATAAGAGCTGCACTTGTCAGCCTCCTTCTCTCCACACTGGTATACTCTGTAGGGATGCTATGAGCGTGGATGAAATGCAGTACTCCTGGCTGTGTTCAGGGACAGGACAGCACCTCCAGGGATGTAAGCACCACCCACCCCACAGCAGCAACTCCCAACCGCTGCAACTGGGACCCAACCTGGAGGGATCGAAAGCATCAGGGGCATTGAGACATGAGGGAAAGACCTTCCAGCTGCCAGTTCCAGCCCAAAGCCTTCTGTTCCCTTAAGGGAGTATGAGGGGAAGGCTCGGGACCAGGGGTGAGGTTATGGCCTCTCCTTCTTAACCTGAAGATGAGCATATGGCCTGCTCTGCAAATAGAGAGCCCCACAAACTCCCACTGGGCCACCCGCCTTGCCACATCCTATTACACTAAAGAGGGACCCACCAAGACCCTCACGGTTCTAGCAAGGCTCCCCATCAGGACTGAACCCAAAGGTTCCCATTGTAGCTGACATGGGTCGCTACCAACCCCAAGTGGCTCAGAACAGGGCCCATCCCCAAAGGCTGTGCCCTCTACTAGCCTTTTACCATCTCCTTCACCTCCTGCTGTGTAAGAAGCCTGGCTCTCCCTGGAGCCCTGTGGAGTGAGAACTCTTTCCTCTCTCTAAGACCCCTGGGTCTGGAGAGGCTTGATCTCTAGGCCCTCTCAGCCTCTTCCAAGGCAGGTCAGCAGAAATCCTCTCTGGCCCCTCCCTTATGTATCAACTTTAGTCCTTCAGGGTCTTGCTGTCGATCCGCTTGGCCATGGCCAGTTCTCTGACTTCTGATGACCTTGACATCCATCCATCTCCATGCCATCGCCTTATAATACCAAGCCCTGGTCAGTGCCTGCATCCCTTGTAGCTCATGCACCATCCCTCAGTCTCTGACATTTCCTGAGCTCACCTGCCCAGTGCCTAACTGCCTCAGCCTGGATCCCCACCACAATGCCATCTGCTCTCTCAGCACCAGCAGCCCGTTATCCTCTTGCCTTCCTTGCCAGCTCCCACCTCTGGTCCCTTTTGATCCGGCTGCTGTCCCTATCCCAGGCTGCTGACCTCCAGAGGACAATCAGCCACACTGAGTGGTTACTTTGGGGGCCAAAACTACTACCCTTTAAGTTCGAAAGCTCCACTCACTTCCCTTCTGAGCTTCCTTCTACCTACCCCTCCATCCCAGCTTCTGCAACTGTACACAGAAAGGTGGGAGATGATTACGCAGGGACTCCAGAGTGCAGGCCTATGTTCAGCTCCTCCACCAGTGGTGCACCTGAAATCTGTGTGCGAGAATGTACTTCACTTAATGTCCCCTTCATGCTTAAACTTTTTGTTGTTGCTGGTTTTGGTTTTTCAATACAAGGTTTCACTGTGTAGTCAGTCCTGACTGTCCTGGAACTCATTCTGTAGACAAGGTTGGCCTCAAACAGAAGCCTGCCTCTGCCTCCTAAGGTGTGTGCCATTAATTTTTAAATTAAATGCTTATGTGCAAGATTAGATGAAGTGGTACACACCTTTAATGCCAGTACTTAAAAGGCAGAGGCAGGGGGATTTCTACAAATTCAAGGCCAACCTGATCTACATAGTGAGACGGTATCTCAAAAAGCAAACCAAAATAAACAAAAACTGCTTATGCACAGGCAAGGGCTGTGGAGGTTACGTCCCTCTTAGGGGACTGTATCAATACCCTTTCCTGCAACTTACTTTTCTCACTCAACCTCCTAGGCCAGAGTATACACAGCACTAGGCCAATCTCTTTAATGGCCAACTAGCATCCCATAGTATGAACAGACTATACTTTGGTCAACCATTGTCCTCCTGATCCATCACTTTATATACACACCACCCCTTAACTCCCAATAGGTCCATTTGTTTCTGATCTGACAGAGCCAAGCCCAAGCTACCACTCTGTTCACAAGGCGCAGGTTAAAGGATAGAGTTCCTACAGCACTGGCCGGAGATCCTAGAACATGGGAAGCCCTGAGAGGTGAGCCATAAGAACTGCTTTTTCCTTCCCCACCTCCTAAGGGGTTCGGACTGAGGCCCACAGAGTTACACTAAGCATCTCACTGTCACAAACCAACACAGGTGGAGCTAGGAGAGGAGTCCCGTGCTGTGGGCATCCTGCCCCTAGCACCTCAGCAACCTGCACAGGTGCCAAGCGGTGGGGCTCACACCTGGCCCAGCGCCTGGCATGTGGTGGATGCCTGGTAGGTATCTGCTACATACAACAGACCCAAACCACTTTTCTGTCTCATCAACAGTCCTCATAGCATCCATAGACATGCTGCCCAAGAAAAGTGAGCCCCCCACAACCAGAATAGTCAAAGGGCACCTCAGCATGTCTCCAACTAGAACACATGTCTCCTGCAGAGCCACACACAGACTTACAGGATTTCATAGTTGCCAAGAACTTCCTTGGGTGGAGACTTGTTCCATTTGCAGTCAGGAATCTCACCATTGGGGACCGCGATGTTGAGGGTGTCATTAATCAGGTTGTACTTAAGAATTCGATCATTGGCGGTGCTGGAGGTGAGAGATGGGGACGCATTAACCTACAAGAAGAAAAACATACACCCTTCACTGTGGCACTTCCTCCTCTGGAATGAAAGGTTCAGGAGCCAGCATGGGCCATGTGCTCCAGGCATTTATCATTTAAATAGACATCTCACACCTGCCAAGCACCTCACATAGAAAGCTGTCAGTTAGCTGTCAGCCTGACACACCCCAGAGTGGCCTGAAGAACTGCTCAGGTCAAATGGGTCTGTGAGGCATTTTCTTCTCTTTATAATTTTTTCTTTACACATTTACTTATTTTTGTGTGTGCTGCATGTGTATTTGTGTGGGCACACACGTGCTACAGTGCACGTGTGGTGGTCAATGGGAAACTTGTGGGAGTTGGTGCTGTGCACCTGGAAATCAAACTCAGGTTGTCAGGCTTGACAGTGAGTGTGGGAGCACCCACTGAGCCTTCTTGTTGGCCCTGTGAAGCATTTTCTTCAGAGCCTGTTTATGTAGGAGAGCCCAGCCCAGGGTGGGCAGTGCAGTCCCTGGGCAGGTAGGTCTGAGCTGGATAAGAAAGATAGTTGAGTAAGCCAGGGAAGCAAAGCCAGCAATCGGTGTTCCTCCATGGCCTCTACTCCAGTTCCTGCCTTGGCTTTCCTGGATGACAGACCACAGCCTGTAAGCCAAGTAAACCCTTTCCTCCCCAAAGTTGTCTACTTTTTTTTTTTTTTAAGATATATTTATGTTTTGTGTATGGGTGTTTTGCCTACATTTATGTTTGTGTACCACCTGTGTGTGGTGCCCATGGAGGCCAGAAGAGGGTGTTGGATGCCCTGGAACTAGAGTTACAGATGGTTGTGAGCCACCATGTAGATGCTGGGAAATGAACCCAGGTCCTCTGGAAGAGCAGCCAGTGCTCTGACCACTGAGCAATCTCTCCAGCCTCCTCCCAAGTTGCTTTCCCCACACCCCCAAGACAGGGTTTCTCTGTGTCCTGAGCGTCCTTGAACTCACTCTGTAAACTAGGTTGGCCTCAAACTCAGAGATCTGCCTGCCTCTGCCTCTGCCTTTGCCTCTGCCTCCCGAGTGCTGGGATTAAAGGTGTGTGCTACCAAAGCCCAGCATATTACAACAACAGAGAAGCAAACTAGGACAGAAGCATCATGTTATCTGCTTCTACTGGTTGTTAGGTGAACTATAAATAATGTTAAAGACAGGATCACAATTGCCTAGTAACTCCAGCTCCAGGGGAATCTGATGCCCTCTTCTGGCCTCCAAAGGTACCTGCATTCATGTGCACATAACCAGCCCACCATCAAACCCCCACCAGAGACATGCATACACATAATTAAAAATAAAACAAATCTTTAAGAGAGAGAGACAGACAGAGAGAGAGAGAGAGAGAGAGAGAGAGAGAGAGAGAGAGAGAGAAATAATAGCTATAACTAGGATCATAGTTCATCAAGGGAAGTGTGACTTCCATTCAAGTTACTGTATTTAAGGTGCAGTAAGCCACCACCTCTAACCCCAATACCTAGAAGCCTGACATAGAAGGAGCGTAATTTCAAAAACCAGCTACGAAAGACCACATTCTCAAAAGACAAAAAGGAAGTGATGGGGTAGGGAGGGAGGGCGGAAATATTACATCTCCCCCTGGCCCCTGACTCCAGCAGCATCAGCAGGTTCCCATTATGGAGCCAGCTTGCTCTAGATAACTTGATTACCACAAGCTCCTCACTGAGGTTCCCTCTGACTTTCCCTGTAGGGGGCCAAGCTCTACTCTTTGCACTTAAAGAATCCTAGGCTAGCCGGGCAGTGGTGGTGCATGCCTTTAATCCCAGCACTCAGGAGGCAGAGGCAGGCAGGTCTCTGAATTCGAGACCAGCCTGGTCTACAAGAGCTAGTTCTAGGACAGCCTCCAAAGACACATAGAAACCCTGTCTTGAAAAAACAAAACAAAACAAACAAACTAACAAAAACAAAATAACAAGCCAAGAATCCTAGACTTTCTGGCATGAAATGGAACTGAAGGGCCTGAGCTGTCTGTCTCCAAATGAGCTTGTTGAAAGGGCAGGTGTCCAGAGTGACACTCAGAGTGAAACGACACAATGTGGGCTCCTGCATGCTTAGGGCATCTTCCATCCTTGTCCTCCTGGCAACTGTGACCTCAGACAAGGGCACCAGTGCCCACCCCTCTGAAAAGGCTGTGATAGTTAATCTCCATCAGCCTAATGGGATTTGCAGTCACCTAGGAGACACATCTCAGAGTGACTTTGGGGGTATTTCCAGAGAGGAAGACCCACCCTGAATTCGGGTAGCACCCTCCTATGAAGGGGGCCCTCGGCTGAAGGAAAAAAGGAAGCCAGTGGAGTACCAGTGTTCATCTCACTCTGCTTCAACTCTGAGCATATGTGACCGGCTGCTTTACACACACCCCCAACCATGCTTACCCACCATGACGGATCGTATGCTCAAATCACGCACATACCAAATAAAACTCCCCTGAAAAAGCAACAACAAAAGCTCCCCTGAAGTTGTTTGTCAGGTATTTGATCACAGTGCTGAGAAAAGTAACTGGTACAGTGGCTGTGGCCAGGAAAAAGCCCTGCTTTGTGGCAGGAAGTGTCCATCCCATCCTTTCTAGGTCTGCCACCACGACACCCTCTTCAACAGGCAGATGGATTCACTTCCAAATTATGCCTTAACACACACTGTAGAACAGTAAGAATGTTCCCTTCCCCCATGGCACTGCCAGCCAAGGTGGCAGTGTTGTGAGTTACCTCAATCAGCCAGGGCTTCAGCTTGTCGTCAATGATGATGTCGTAGCCATAGCATTCAAAACAGTGCTTGTCATTGTTCATCACAGGCTGTGGAGTGACCAACAGGTTATAAAGCAATATCCTGCTGGGCGGTGGTGGTGCAAACTTTTAGTCCCAGCACGTAGGAGGCAGAGGCAGAGGCAAAGGCAGAGGCAGAGGCAGGTGGATCTCCGTGAGTTCGAGGCCAGCCTGGTCTACAGTGTGAGTGCCAGGACAGCCAGGGCTACAGAGAGAAACCTTGTCTCAAAAAACAAACAAATAAAGATAAAGACAGAGGAACTCTCCCATAATGCTGACGTTCACACACACACACACACACACACACACACACACACACCCAGCAGGCTGCCTCTTATTCCTCCTAGCCTGTGAAACCAGGTAAAAATAAGATTATAAACCTGTTTCAAATGAGAAAAATAAACCTATTTCCTTTCATTTTCTAGATTTCCACTGTAACTTTTAATTCACTTAAATAAAGTTCCCATGCGTACTGAACAAAGGAGCGGGTGTTGGAGAGATGGCTCAGCTCTTAAGAGCACTTACTGCTCTTCCAGAGGACCCTAGTTCAGCTCCTGGAACCCATGTCAGGCAGCTCACACCCATCTGTAACTCCAGCTTCAGGGGATGCAATGCTTCTGGCCTGTGTGGACACCTGTACTGGCCATGTACACACACAAGCTTGAGGATCACCACACAGTCAGAGGGCCAGGAGAAGTACTCCTTCTGAGGCAAATGTGTACAAGGGATTCTTCTGGGGAAGGAAGATGGGTACAACCTGGGAATTCTGCATCTCTCACATCTCCATGGGGATAACATAACATTATCCCATGTCTCCAGGCCTGTGAACTCAGGTCCCACACAAGTGGGTGGGTCTGTCAGTGGCCAGCTCAGTAGCGGGCTAGACTAAACTGCCCTAAGAGGGTGAGCTGAGGAATTCTGTCCTGCAAGTGACCTCAGCGGTGGGCTGGCTGTCTCCCTGTTCCTCCTGAGAGAGGGCATGGGAGACAAGGAGACTGGCTTTGGGTCAGGAGCCTTTTCCTCTGTTCTTCAATCTGGGGTCAGGTCCCCCATTTTCTTGTGAGTTATATGGGAAGCAAAGACACCCCAGAGACACCATCTGTCAAGTCCTGAAAACAGGGGCCAGCACACCACTGCTTATTCCTATCACTCAAAAATAGAAGTGCACCTGCCTGAAAATTGCAATCCAGCAATCAGATCAATGACCTGAGGTTAAGAACAAAGAAATAGGCTATTTCCAGCCTTAAATAGCCATGAAACAGCAACATCAAGCTGCCTGAAGGGAAGGCCACTGCAACCCCTGCCCTGAGGAGTGTCAGTTCGTGCCAAAATACCCACGAAGAAAAGCTGATGGTGGAAAGGCAGAGGCAGGTGATCTCTGTGAGCTCCACACCGCCCCAGTAACATTCTCCAGGCCAACCCTCAATAAAAAGGAAGAGACAAAGGAAAAAGAGACGGTGTCAATGGGACTCTATTCTTCTGCAGAAGCTTTGGGGTCTGCATCCATATCAGAGGCTGACCAGACTCACCAGAAAGTGGTCCCAACCCCTTCCCAAAACTGTTCTGCCCTGACTGACACATGGGTAGGATGAGCAAACAGAAGAACTCCAGGCTGTGGAACACTTCTTAAGAACCCCTGGTTAGACCAGGGCCTCCCATTGGGCTTTCGGGGCCCACTGTAGCCTTGGCTATAGCATGAGTTCAAAATTTACCTGAGTAACTTAATGATATATTGTCTCAAAGTAAAAAGTAAGAAGAGGCTAGGAGGCTGGGAATATAGATCAGTGGTAGAGGGCTTACCCAACATGCACCAGTGTACCAGGCCGTCAGGCCAATTTCAGCACAACAACCAACAGGTTTATCAGGACATCACCCATCTCAGGTCAAGATCCCCTTCTTTTACTAAAGGGGCCTCCAGCATGGAGCTGACTTGTCCGAGATCACAGAAGCAGAAAGATGGAGCCTGAACTTCTACACTTCTTTTTTTTTTGGGGGGGGGGGGTTTCAAGACGTTTTCTCTGTATAGCTTTGGAGCCTATCCTGGCACTCTCTCTGGAGACCAGGCTGGCCTCAAACTCACAGAGATCCACCTGCCTCTGCCTCCCGAGTGCTGGGATTAAAGGCCTGCACCACCAACGCCCAGCCTGAACTTACACTTTTGTTTCTCTAAGTACCCTCACCTCTATTCCAACCCTAAGCAGGCACTCAAGTAATGTACCTGGACAATCATACCTGCTACTTTGAATCCCTTCAATGTCTGGGCCACTAGGTTGTGAATGGCTCTCCTAGAACTAGCCTGGTCCCCTCTTGCAAATATATAGGAGAGAAAATCCCCCAAAGCCATCTTACTTCCTGTGCCCAAAGAAGAGCCACTCACCCCGTGCTTCTGGATGGCTACATTGGTAAGGTGGACGAACATGTTGTCCAGCTCGCTGGTGCTCGGGGTGTACTTTACTGTGCAGAAACGGCAGAAGCCAAGCTTGTACCTGGGAGGGAACTCAGACTGAGGCACAGAACACAGAAAGAAAATATGCCAGTCCACTCAAGAGAAGAGGGGCTGTTAGCTTCCATTGCTTTTGGTTTCACTATGTAGCCCAGGCTGATCTCAAACTCGTAAACTTCCCATCTCTACCTACTGAGTGCTGGGATTACAGGTGTGCACACCACACTCCACTTGCTTCAAATGTCCAAAACAGCAGCGGTGTTCTTATTTGTAAGATTTACAGTAGCTTCCGAGTCAACTGCTCTTAAACAATACCTACCCACCCTGAGCCAGGTGCTGTGAATCCCCCATGTCACTAGTCATTAAGCCTTGAAGTAACACTATGAAGCAGGAACAGACTCTTACATGTAGCATCGCAGTGGGCGGTATGTGGACACCAGGACATACAGACGCAGATCAAACTTCCTCCCACCGATCAGTAACGGATTATTGATATAGAGCGAGATCACATAAGCTTCTTTTGTGGACTGAGACACAAACCTACATATATCAGAGAAAGTCACATTAGATTGTAAAAGATACAAGATTAAAGGCACTTCTTGCAAAAAAGAGAAATGATAACTTGCTGGCCACTGTGATGGTTTACTTTTGTTTTGTTTTGTTTTTTTCGAGGCAGAGTTTCTCTGGGTAGCTTTGGAGCCTGTCCTGGACCTCGCTCTGTAGACCAGGCTGGCCTTGAACTCACAGAGATCCACCTGCCTCTGCCTCCTAAGTGCTGGGATTAAAGGCATACACCACCACTGCCCAGCAGTTTGCTTTCTTTTTTAATTATTTATTTAATGTGTATGGGTGTTTTGTCTGAATGTACATCTGTGTACCACAAGCATGCAGTACCATGGAGGGACTGGGGTTACAGTTGTGAGCTGTCATGTAGCTGGGACTCAAACCTGGGTCCTCCAGAAAAACAGCAGTGTTTTTTAATAGCTGAGTCATCTCTCCACCCTGGTTAGCCTTAATTATCAAATTCACACATCCTAGAATCATCTGGGACGAGTTTCAATGAGGCATTCTCTACATTGGCCTGGGAGCATGTCTGTGGGTGACTGTCTTTTTTTTTTTTTTTTCTGTGCACCATGTGCATGCAGTACCCATGGATGTTAGAAGAGGTATTAGATTCCCCCCGAACTATAATTATTGCATACAGTTGTTAGCTGCCACACTGGTCCAGAGAACCCAGGTTCTCTGCAAGACCAGCAAGGGCTCTTAACCACTGAGTTATCTCTCCAGTTCTCTGTGGGAAGACAGTCTACTGTGAGCAGGATCCTGAACTACATGGTGAAGAAGCTACTAAGCACAAGTAATCAAGAGGGCATGCATATATTAATTTCTCTCCACTCTTGACTGTGTGTGTGACGTCTCCTTTACTTCCCTGTGATGCAATGTAACCTGGAATTGAGAGCTAAAATCAATTAGCTCCTCCCCAGTTGCTTTTTGTCATTGTGTGTTATCACAGCAACAGAAATCAAACTGAGTCAGGCATTAAAATTAGAAATCTGCATTAGCTGGGTGAGGTGATGCACTTCTTGGCATTCACCCAAAGAGCAATGCTGACACAGCATCAGTCACAGCTGCCAGGACATGCCAGCAATCAGCAGCCTTCTGTCAGATAACAGAACCATTTATTCAGTGACAGAAAGAAATGAGTGAACAAGCCAGACGACATAATATAATGTACGCCAAGTGCTTAGGGAGACCCTTAAAAGTGACAGCAGTCAACCTGAAAAGGCTCCATACTGTGTGATTCTAGCCAGACGACATTCTGAAAAAGGGAAAACTAGGCAATCGGCAAGAAGAGTTGCCAGAAGATGGGCTGGGAGTGGGAAAGGGAGGTGGACAGAGGGTATCAGCCTAGTGAAGTTGCTTTGCGTGACCCTGCATGGGCAGAAACATCACCATATACTGTCCAGAGTCACAGTGGCCCAGAGTGAACCCTGACACATGATAGACTGTGCATCTGCACCTCTCTTGGGATGCCTGGGTGACAACAGAACCATGGAGGGTATCTCAGCTAGAAGCTATGGCAAGCACTGCAAGGACAGCCCCCTGGGAACCCACCCAAGGAGGATCCTGAAGCAAAGTGTAATCAGACTGAAACACTCTATACAAGAAGGGTTTTCTGCCACTCGGGGGACTCCTGATGGGCAAGTCACCACTCCTGGGAAATTATCGTACTGAGGCCTTGTTCTAGGCTCTCCAGCTAAGGACTCCTCAAACACAGAAGAAAGCTGGTAAACCCAGGAGCAAACTAAACTCCACCTGCCAACCAACCTGCTGCCCACTCAAGTGCCCACGGCAGGACACTCTCTACTCTCCCCTGGGCTTTACCCTGCCAACCTGCTCCACCAGGACAGGTGCTGTTACTGTTCTCAGTTTCCTCAGACACAGACTCAGAGGCACTGACTGGGCCCCCAGCTCTAAAGCTTGTGCCTCACTGTTACAACTGTGCCTGCCTCAACAAGCTTGGGAACCAAGTGGCCTACAACGCCACTGCCTAGGGCCTATTCCACATCCACTCATGGCTCACCATGGGGAAATCTGTGGTTAATTACATGTCTTCAGCCACAGAGCCCAGATGGGGTACCACATAACAAGTGCACAGCTGGAAAAGCAGGCAAAGGCTATGCCCAGCCGATGACTGAGGCTACAGGATGGCAGGACGCAACTAACCAGAACCTTATGTGCAGTTCAGGGTTTGTCAACTCACGAGGATGTCTTGCTGTCCCGGGACCACTTTTTGATTTGTGAGAGCTTGTTGATAAGGAAGATGCCCTTTCCCTGGGCTTTGCCACAAGGCTTCATGATCCAGGTGCTGGATGGACTCTTCCGGAACTCCTCCACAAACAGGTTGTAGTCAGCAGGGAGCATGTAGGTGACCGGGACAAAGTCTGAAGTAAAGACACCATTTCCATAAGCAGCTGCCTGCCTGGGGCTAGGGGCAAGAAAACATCACCACGGTTCAGGGCTCCTTAGCACTTTACTTCAACCATGAACTTACATGACAGGACTGCTGCTGTCCTGTTCCTATGTATACTAAGAAGGAACCCTGATGAGCTGTGTGCATGGACCTTTGCAGACATACATCACTTAAACTCCAAGCAAGCTGTCTGCTAGGCAGCTACCATTCCCACCTAGCAGGTGGGGAAACAGGCCGGGGAAGTTGATGACAAAGTTCTGCCCAGGGCCTGGAAAGATGGCTCAGTAATTAAGAGCACTGGCTAGAGGACATGGGTTCTGTTCCCGGCATCCACATAGTGACTCACAACCATCTGTAACTCCAGTTCCAGGTGGTCCAATGCCCTCTTCTGGTCTCCATGGATACTGCACACAGGTGGTACACAGACATACATGCAAACAAAACACCCATACATATTCTCAAATAATTTGTTTCACTCTGCTCTGGTATGAGATCCTGAACTGCCAAGAAACTAGCTCTGATCCCTAGGTAGACCAGGGACACACACGTGTGGCTCAAGAGAGAGTAGTAGCACTGGGCACACCCTTGTCCATACTAAGTTTGTCTCTCAGTAACTCCACAGTCACAGAAACTCAAGAGTCCAAACCAAGCTCAACCCTGCCCACACACCAGGAGACACACCAAAGGTAAAACAGATGCCCACAGAACCCACCACAACCCATTCACCTGGTAAAGCCAGCCACCAGTGCCTCAGTGCCTTGTGTTCATGAAATGATTAACTCAGTGTATTGCTTAGTTTTTTTTTTTTATCAACTTGATATAAACCTAGACATATCTGGGAAGAGAAAAATCTTCTTTGTTCTTAATTTATTATTTATTTTATATGCATTGGTTTTTTGCCTGCATGTATGTCTGTGTGAGAGTGTCAGATCTTAGAGTTACAGACAGTGTGAGCTACTATGCTGGTGCTGGGAATTGAACCCAGGTCCTCTGGAAGAGCAGTCAGTGCTCTTAGCCACTGAGTCATCTCTCCATGGAAGAGAAAAATCTCTTTTGTTTGCTTGTTTGCTGTTTTTTTTCAAGACAGGGTTTCTCTATGTAGCCCTGGTTATCTTAAAACTAGCTCTGTGACCAGGGTGACCTCGAACTCACAGAGATCCTCCTCCCTCTGCCTCCTGAGTACTGGGATTAAAGTCATGTGCCACCATCGCCCCTGCTGGAAGAGGAAATCTTAAGAAAAATGTTTCCATTAGATTAGCGTGTAGGCAAGTCCGTAGGGCATTTTCTTGATTAATGGTAGATGTGGAATGGCCCAGCCCACTGTAGGCAGTGCCATTCCAGGACAGGTGGTCCTGGATCATATAAGAAAGCAGGCTGAGCAAACCATGGGAAGCAAGCCAGTAAGCAGTACTCCTCCATGGCCTCTGCTTCAGTTCCTGCCTTGAGTTCTTGTCCTGACTTCCCTCAATAATGCATTATGATTCAAGAGTTGTAAACTGAAACACATCCTCACCTCCCTAAGACGCTTACAGTCACAAGCTCTTTTTTTTTTTTTTTTTAAATAAAGGCTAGGCTCACAACCAAAAATATTTAAAAAATTATGTATTTACTTTTTAATTATGTGTATGTATATGTGCGTCACAGTGGTATATGCACATGGATTCAAGTGTTTAAGGAGGCCAGAGGCCTCAGATTCCCTGAAGCTGGAGTTACAGGTTGTTATGAGTCACCTGGCATGGGTGCTGGGAATCAAACTCAGAACCTCTAGAAGAGCAGGACATGCTCTTAGCCAGAGCCATCTCTCCAGCCCCTGGTCATGATATCTATCATGGAAACAGAAACTCTCACTAAAAGCCACTCAGAAACTGACTCAGGACCCAGGGCAAGCAGGAAGGCACCAACCCAGATAGAGGTATTTTCCATTCTCATCTTTTTCTGCCAGAGGACTTCCTTCTTTCTCCAGTTCCTTCCTGTATCTTTTAATGTTCTTCACCATCAGGTCCTTGCGGGTCAGTTCATAGTGGTTGGGGAAGTGGTTGACAATCTGGTCATCTGAGAGACGGTACCCAGTTTCCACGCTGAACACATTGCGAATGGTTTGCACACTCATCCTGAAACAGAGGCACAGAAGGGATAGGGGCTCAGAGCCGTGTCACCCAAGAACATGCCTGCTCACAGCTCTGCCTGTCTCCAGGAGTTCTAATTGGTTACCGGTATACCCCGAGGCTGCAGCATGGAATGTGTACTCAGGGATGGGCTGTGGCCAGGCTGAAGGACAGGGAGGCTTTGACCCCATGCCTTGACATTTGCATGTCCCATGTAAAGCCCATTCACTGCTCACTGGCTGGTGCCAGGCTCATGTATGCACATGCTGTGTGCTCAGATATCAGAAGAGGCACTGGATCCTCCGGAACTGGAGTTTCAGGTGGTTGTGAGTTGCCATATGGGTGCTGGGAATCAAACCCAGGTCCTCTGGAAGATCTCTTAATCGTGAGCCACCTCTTCAACCCTATCAGGCTATTTTAACACAGTGGACAGACAAGGTGGGACAGACTCTTTCAGAAGCTAATCTCAGGAAACAAATTTTTATCCAAATTCAGAAAAAGCATTCAAACACTAAAATCAGAATGGCGACTCTAGGTCCCAAGTCAGCATATCTTATTCTTGGATTCCCACAGGGAGGGCTCAAGGGGACAGTCAGACAAAATCCTTCTTATTCTATTTCACACTGCTGGGAATTGAACCCTGGTATTGTACATCCCAGCAAGTGTCCTACCTCTGAGCTCTGTCCCCAGCCTAGAAATGGGTGCCTTCTACCAAAACCACTGTCCCCATCAAGCTCAGGGGATCGGGAAGATGAATGAAGGAAGTAAGGTTGGTTGGCACCTTTGAGGGAACCACTGAACAGAAAGACAAGGCAGCTTGACACAGGCCTCCCTCTGGGACTCTGTCCTCAACACTGCCCACCCCACAGAACAAGCCGAAAGAGCTACCCAGTCTCCACTCCATGATGACTGAACAGTGGTGGGTCTCTTTTGTCTCATCATGGGAAAGCTCAGCCACATAGAACCATAGAACCCCAGGGCTCAGTTTCCATGGCTGACAGCACGGGGCCTGAACTCCAACTTATTCCCCATAGTGTGAGCTTCTTTGGAAAAAATTCCCAGACACGGTTTCACTTTGCCTAAAATATTTCCACTTAACATTCTCTAGCAGTTAGGGGATCCTTTATTTATTCATTTTATTCACAAAAATATCTGGGTGTATAAGCACTCGTGAAAATGATGAGAGCCTGAGTTTGGATCCTCAGCATCTATATAAGAAGCCAGGTGTGGCCAGGTGGTGGTGGCTCACGCCTTTAATCTCATCACTTGAGAGGCAGAGGCAGGTGGATATCTGTGAGTTTGAGGACAGACTAGTCTACAGAGAGAGTTCTAGGACAGCCAGGGCTACAGAGAAACCCTGTCTCGGTGGTGGCTCACGCCTTTAATCTCATCACTTGAGAAGCAGAGGCAGGTGGATATCTGTGAGTTTGAGGACAGACTGGTCTACAGAGAGAGTTCTAGGACAGCCAGGGCTACAGAGAAACCCTGTCTTGAAAAAACAAAACAGTTCTAAAGCCTTTTGTGGTCATACATACCTGTTGTCGCAGCTATCTGGAGGCTGAGGTACAACTGGATGAACCCAGAAGTTAAAGACTAGCCTGGGTAAAATAATGAGATTCCCTAACCCCTTCTCCCTATAGGGTAAAATAAAAAGAACTCTGAACACTCCTTACCTGAACAAGGAAGGCATTCAGTGACCTCCACTGACACGTTAGGTCTAATCAATGACCTCAAGGGGCACCTGCCAACCCAGCTTCAAGTCACTGTTCAGTTCAGCCCTCTCTCCCAGAGCTCGGTGGGTAAAGTGCTTGCTGAGTGACCAAGGCAACTTATAAAACAGATCATTTAATGTGGGACTCTAACCCAGAGGGGTAGAGTCTATGACCACCAAAGTGGAGAGCACTGCAACAGGCAGGCAGGCCTGGGGTTCGGAACAGTGGCTGAGGGCCGACATGTGAGCCACAGCATGGGCAGAGAGAGAGAAAACTGGGCTCCGGGTTTCTCCATGCCACCCAGAGGTCAAAAAAAAAAAAAAAAAAAAAAAGATGGCAGATAGTTGGCCAAGAGAAAACAAAGACCCAGCAAATATAACACCTGGTGGAGAGGTCTCAATGAAGTGGTCCAAAGTGTAGGCCAAGCCCAACAACCTGGTCCTGCTGGACAAAAGCTGCAGAGGACAAACCCTGGAGGGAGCTCCCAGCACAAGCTTCTTACATCAGCAAGGTCTCTGAGAGTCACCGGTCCCTGGCCCGGCCAGTGCCTCAGAAGCTCCTTAGTTAACTGGTTCCAAGCACCGAGCTCAGGTTATTTACACAGAAACACAAAAGGTGGAGATGCCTCAACAGGCTCAACTGACAATACATTTGGAAAACTCAAGCTTATTCGAAAGAAAGAAAGAAAGAAAGAAATAAATAAAGAAGGAACGAAAGAAAGAAAGAAAGAAAGACAGACACTAAACACAGCTTTTTACTCTCACCAGTAAAAGTTCCAATCTTCATTTTCTGTCACTTGGATCCATCCTCTCTTCTCAAAGTTGTTGATCAGCACCGACTTCTCAATGTCAGTGACCCACTTCACCCTTCCTGCCATGACCCTGGAAGAGACCCAAGTCCTTACACTTGGAAACTTCACCAGCCAATGTCCTTCCAGACCAAAGGGATGCTCTAATCACCATACAACGTAAACATACAACTCCCCCACACACACACACACTCAGGCTCACATGGGTGTTTCCAGACTGGGCTAACCCAGCCCTAGGGACTTCTGGTGATGTCTAGAGAGATCCTGGATAACACATATGGGAAAGGAGAAGATGATTCAGGCATCTAGTGTGAGGGGTGGGGGACACTGGCCAAACATCCCACAGACAGACAGGCCTCCACCCCTCCATAAATCCTCCTGCCCCCACGCCAACCAGGTCTAAGGGGGCAAGTTTAACAGCCACACACAAGCATCCAATGGCACCTGTGTTGGGAACCATGAAGGGCTACAAGGGTGGGAGGGGCTCTGTTCAGAGCAGGTGAGGAAGGCTGTTCTGGGAAGCACACTCCTAAGTGAACCTCTGATGAAGTAACAAGGGTTTGCACATCCATCCTGCTCTGGGCATCTTCATTCCCTGTCCCACACTGCCTAGCTCCTTGCTTCTCCTTTACCTCATTCATTCTAACCATGCTCTTAAAAAAAAATAGAAAGAAAGAAAACATGGAAGTGGAGAGATGGCTCAGTGATTCAGAATACTGTCTGCTTTTCCAGGGGTCCAGAGTTCAATTCCCAGAAACCACATGGTGGCTCACAACCATCTGTAATGAGATCTGGTGCCCTCTTCTGGCCTGCAGGCACACATGTAGACAGGGCACCATATATATAATTAAAAATTTTAAAAACAAAAACACTGTTGCCAGGTGACAGCAGGGCACGCCTTTAATCCCAGCACTCAGGAGGCTGAGGCAGGAAGATCTCTGTGAGTTTAAGGCCAGCCTGGTCTTCAAAGAGAGTTCCGGGACAGCCCAGGGCACACAGAAAAACTGGGGGGGGGGGGGGCAAACAAACTTTGTTTTGAGATTTTATTTACTTTTATTTTATGTGCATGGGCATATATGGACACTCAGAGAACACCATGTGCTGGTGGATGTGACTCACACCCCCACCCTCATCCTTGCTGGGCAGGAAGCCAGCCTAAGCATTGGGAGGCCAGAGGTTCATGCAGACCACCCAGTGCTCTTCCCAGACATGTTACACACACATTCTCTGTCCCCAGTCATGGGAGTGTTAGCACTTGCCATAGGTCCTTCTGTAGTTCCTGGAGTGCTCACAACCTCTCAGCTTCACTGACAAAAGCAAAAGGGACACAAAAGTGAGTTACAGTTATGGAGCAAAACTCGACCAGCCAAATAGATACCCTGGGATGGTATCTTGGTTAACCATGGTGAGTCACATGTCATCCTAACATGTAGACAGAAGAAACAGGAAGATCCCAGCAAGTTCGAGTTTAGCCTCGTCTATACGTCAGGTCCAGGCCAGCCTGGGTTGTATAGTGAGACCCTGTCTCAAAAGAAAATATAGCTGGGCACCTTCAACCCCTGGACTTAGGAGGCAAAGGCAGATGGATCACTATGAGTTTGAGGCTAGCTTGGTCTACACAGTGAACTCTCGGGCCGCTGTGCCAATAAAGTGAGATCCTATCTCAAAAAATAAACCAAAAAGACAAAGAACCTCCATGGTCACTGTACACACATATGCCCATATACTTATAGAGGCATATAAACACAAACAATAAAAATTAAATCTTAAGACATCTGCACACCATGGAAAATAGATCAGAACAAATCCATCTGAGGTGACCAACCGCAGTCAGCCTACTGGATGTTTACAGAAGACAATAGGTTTGGGTACAGCCTTTGTAAGGAAAACAAGGTTTCCTATGCCAACCCACAGCCTAGCTTTTAGTCATCCACTAGGCAATGGCAGTCACTTGGCACAGAAGAGAGCTGAGATGGTCCAGTCCCAGAGAAAGTGACCTACACATAAGGCAAGGTGACTTACTAATACTGTGACAAAGCTCAGCTGTGATCCTGGGGGAAACAAATCAGGTGTATGCTGTATCCCAGCAGAATCGCAAGTCCATACAAGGCTGTCCATAGCCCACAGTTCTGCTGGACAAACATAGCAGGCCTGATGGCCTCCTTGCTTCTGCCGTGTCCTAGTATGACCCAGCACTCTGTTCTTGAACACACATTAAGTGAAGTTACCAGCTCCTAAGCCTACAGCTTTTGGGCTCTGGTAATCAAAATAAAACTAGCAGTCTGCTCATGACCCACAAGGCCAGCCCGGCCCTACCTATGCCACCACCTTCCAGCCCTATTGCCCATCACCCCCTACTCCTCTCTCCCCAGTTCCTACCTTCTTTTATCCCATGTCCACCAAACTGAATGTCTAGAGCCTGTGTTCTTCCCACAGACCTGGCCCCCAAACTGAATGTCTAGAGCCTGTGTTCTTCCCACAGACCTGGCCCCCAAACTGAATGTCTAGAGCCTGTGTTCTTCCCACAGACCTGGCCCCCAAACTGAATGTCTAGAGCCTGTGTTCTTCCCACAGACCTGGCCCCTTCTCCAATGTCCTCTCCCATGAGTGTCACAGTCACTTTACAACAGTCCCTCCCCTACTCCACTGTCCACAGAGGATGCATTCCATGACCCTGGTTAATGCCCGAAACTGTGGTAAGTACTAAGCCCTATATAAACTGTGTTTCTTCCTATCCACACACCTGTGACAACCTTGTACATCTTCACTTAAAGGAAGCACTTTCCAAACAGCCGAGATCATCCCTCCTACATCGTGAGGCCCATTATCTGAGTTGAAGCATTGTGATAGCTCCAGGGTCAATCTGGTCACTGTGGTGGCTACTATAGAGACTGACCACTGGGAAGGGAGCATAGATATAGTGGCTACACTGGGCAAAGAACGATTACTTAAGTTCCAGGCAGGACAGGGCACTATAGTGCAATACTTCATAACAGTAATCTGAATGATGGACCATTCACAACTTAAAAATCATGTATTTTCGGGCTGGAGAGATGCTCAGTGGTTAAGAGCACTGCTAGCTCTTGTAGAGGACCCAGGTTTGGTTCCCAGTACCTGCATGGCCATTCAAAATTGTCTAACTCTGTATCAGAGGATCTGATGCCCTTGTCTGGCCTCCACAGGCACTGCATGCACATGGTACACAAGACATGTGTAAGCAAAAACACACATTATTATTTTCTTTAAAAAAAAAACTATTTCTGAAACCTTCTGAACTGAAATCATGGAAGATGAAAGCACAGATATGGGGAGTTTCTATATTTTTTCTATGACATACACATGGCTCAGCCTGGCTCTTAACTCAGGGCGTGGCCCATGGGCCATGTACTAGCAGCATAGCATCACATGGAACCAGTCAGAAAAACAGCCTTTTGAGACTGAATGGTAGAGCACTTGCCTGGCATGCAGGAGACCCTGGAATTCATCACCAGCACAAGGAATGGAAAGGAAAATGGGAAGCCAAGGAGGAAGTGGTGGAGGAGTAAGACTGGTCCTTGCCTTTCACCCCCAGTGATGCACTGATGCAGATTCCCTGGAGGAGGGCCCAGGGATGATATGCACTTTCAAATTTGAAATCTACTTCCTCTGCTTCATGTATGTCTCTACACAGATGTGTCAGCACAGGCGCATCACGCCACGCCACACCTCCTGCTGAATCCCCAGCCCAGAACAGTGTCTAGCAACAGTAGGTACTTAGTAAGTACCTAATAATGTCAGACATGGTGGCGCACACCTTTAACCCCAGCACTGAGGAGGCAGAAACAGGGAGAGCTCTGTGAGTTCAAGGCCAGTCTGGTCTACAGAGTGAGTTCCAGAACTATACAGAGAGACCCTGTCTCAAAAACAACAACAAAAACGTGGGCTGGCAAACAGCTCAGCGGGTAAGAGTGGTTGTCAGACAAGCCTAGTGACCTGAGTTTGACTCCTGGAAGGCACATAAAGTTGAGAACCAACTCCACAAAGTTACCCTCTGATACCCACATGCATGTGGACGTACCAGCATGCCCCCCACACAAGCATCATGCACAAAATAATAAATAAATGACAAATAATAAAAGAAGTAGTGTCAGGCATGGTGGCACAGGTTTGCAATCCCAGCATTTGGGAAGTAGAGGCAGGAGGATCAGAAGTTCAAGGCCATCTTCAGGGATAGGGAGTTCCAAGACCAGCCTGGGCTACATGAGGCCCTGTCTCATAAAACTCAAAAAATAAACCCTCCCTGTATAGGATCAAATAAGTGCTACTCAGGCCAATCAGTAAATGAGAGGAAGTCCAGCCCTAGTGGGGGTGGGGCTTTCTCTTACAGGGTTGTGAGATCAGCAACAATAGCCCATAAAGACTTGGCTTTCCAGAAACATGCAGAATGCTACCAGGCAAAGGTGGCACTCAGAACACTTGCCTGTTGGAGTACACTCACAACTCCAGGAGGACAGACACAGGTCAAAGAGCTCCACCACCTGCTGTGATTACAGGCCTAGACACAGGAGACAAGACAGCCTTCCTAGAAAAGGCAAGCAGAAGAGAACTTACCAGTCTTATCACCCTCTGTGTACAGTCTCAGAAAACAAGAACCCTCTCTGCTTCCCACACTGTCATTTTTTTACAAATTAGTGTTGGTAAAGTTCCCAAACCACCAGGATTCTCAGTTTCTAGATTCTTTCCCAGCAAGCTTTCAATGAAAAGTAGAAAAAGCTGTCTCTAAGAAAATATAACTAAGGAGCCGGAGAGATGACTTTGCTGTTAAAGTGGGCACTGCTCTTGCAGAGGCCCTACGTTTGGCTCCCTGCACTCATACCAGACAGCTCACAACCTCTTGTAACTCCAGCTCCTCCGGCGCACATTCGCCCTCTTCTGGCCTCCACTGGTACTTGCATTCACGTGCACACACCCTCACCGCCTCCCCCCACCCCATTAAAAATTAAATAATGAAGCGGGGCAAGATGGCAATCGCCTTTAATCTCAGCAATCCGGAGGCAGAGACAGGCCGATCTCAGTGAGTTCAAAGCCAGCCTTGCTTACAAAGCGAGTTCCAGAACAGCCTGGGCTGTAACATGGAGAAACTCCCTCTCAAAAAAAAAATTTTTTTTAATAATGAAGAATACTTAAATAAAGAAAGCAGTATCTAATGCTGCATGCCCGTGACCTGAATCCCTCTCCACAGCTCTGTCGGTTGCCAGTGCTATGCCTTAAAGTGGCAGTCTAACAGTGTCTCCTATTCCTTGAGAGCAGATCAGGGTCTCTCTTTTTGTGCTGGCACATACATGCCAGCACTGTAATATGTCCATTAAATGTTTCCTGAACAAAGCCTGCTTTATCAACTTCAATTCGGTTTGCAACGCTATACTTCCAGTTGAGGACTGAGGACGCAGGCCCTGCAAAGCCCCCGCTACTCCACAGAGGACCACTACTCCCTGACCCCCTTCCTAACAAAGACGGCAACACCCGGCTGGATGCAGTCTCAGACGAGCGAGTGAAGCGGCCCTGAGCTCCCCACACAGGTGCGTCCCCCCTCTCCGCCCGCAACAGATGCCACCGCAAACAATACAGACTGCGAATGCACTGAAAACCAAGAAGTCCGCGAGCCTGGACTTGCCGGTAAGAAGGAAGGATAACGATGCAATTACAGCAATCGGACGCCACAGAAGAGGGATGCTAAACGGTGCAGGCCGGGACTGGACAGAGGGAGCTAAACCGCTCTGCTCCTCCACCGTCGCGCTCGTCCGCGCGTGCGCAATCCCCACGCGAGGCCACGCCCACGGCGCACAGGACTCCGCCTAGTCTCTCTACTGCAACCAGTCAACCCCGCGCACTCCACTTCCGGAGTGGTGTCCTAGCAACCGAGGACGCGACTACCCGCGGCGTGACTGCTTCCGGATCTGGCTTCTCCAGCTGTGTGTCTGTGGCTTAGAGCCTAGGAAGCTTAGGGCATCCTGTCTGCTCACCCTTCAGGGCGCATAAAAATGAGAGCTTCAAGGGCGTGGGCCAGCGGGTAAAGGCGCTGCTGCAAGCCTTATAACCTCAGTTCTATCTCTGGGACCTACCTGCGTGATGGGAGGAGAAAACAGACACCTGCAAGCAGTGTTTTGATCTCCACTTGTGTGCCGTAGTGAATGCCCACACATGCACGCATACAATAAATGTAATTTAAAAAAAAATGGGTCTGGAGAAATGGCTCAGAGGTTAAGAGCGTGTTGTGCTTTTGCATAGGACCCGAGTTCAGTTCCCAGCACCCATGTCAGGCTGCTCACAACCTCCTGTAACTCCAGCTCTACGAAATCCGAAGCCTGAGGCTGATGGCCTCCATGGGCACCTGCACACATGTGACTCACACACACATACACACACAAATAAACGAATAGATAAATATAGCACTGGAGAGATGACTTGATAGTTAAGAACACTGACTGCTCTTCCAAAGAACCCTTCAATTCCCAGCACCCACAAGGTGGCTCACACCCTTCTATTAACTATGCATGTGGTCCACCAACACATATGTAGGTGAAACACATATACACATAAGATTTAAAAATAAAAAATTTAAAAAGACAGGATTCAAGATGGCAGACAACCTAGCAGCTGGAGGCCAAGTGAGTTCTGGGCAGGGTGTGCCATTCCTCTGTCTCCTACTGTCTCTCCTACTGCCATTCATTTTACTCCTATTTCTGACTAAGGAGCATTCCTCCAAACAGTGCATTTTATGAGCTGTTGTGTGTGTGTAGGCCAGACGCCAGCCTCAGGTATCTTTCCAAGACACCATCCACCATGGTTTTGTTGTTGTGGACACCCCTCCCCCAAGAGGTAAACTAGCAAGCCCCAGGGATCTGCCTAAGTCTGCTTCCCCAACTGTGGGATCACAAGTACATGGCACCATGCCTTGCTTTTTTTGTTTTTCGAGACAGGGTTTCTCTGTATTGCTTTGGAGGCTGTCCTGGAACTCTGTAGACCAGGCTGGCCTCCAACTTAGAGATCCGCTTGCCTCTGCCTCCCGAGTGCTGGGATTAAAAGCAGGCACTACATGGGGGGGGGGTGGTAGGGGAGGAGGGGAGGGAGAGGGAACCGGGATTGACATGTAAAACAATCTTTTTTCTAATTCAAATATAAAAAAAAATCTGAAAAAAAAAAGCATGTGCCACCGCTGCCTGGCCCCATACCCTGCTTTTCAAAATGGGTTCTGGAGTGGAACTCAGGTCCTCCTGGTAGCACGGCAAGTACTTTACCAACTAAGCTTTTAATTTATTTATGGTATGGGGGGCATGGGTGCATGGTGTGACAGCTATATGTAGAGATCAGAAGAAACTTGACAAAATTAGTTTTTTCCTTCTATCATGTGGGACCTGGGGATCAAACTTGGGATGTCAGTCTCAGCAGCAACCATTTATACCACTTGAGCCATCTCACTGGCCCCTCAACTGGACATTTAAAAATCTCTTTCTTGCAGGACTTGGTGGCACACACCTTTAATCCCAGCACTCAGGAAGCAGAGGCAGGCAGATCTCTGTGAGTTCAAGACCAGACTGGTCTACAAGAGCTGATTCCAGGACAGCTTCCAAAGCCACAGAGAAACCCTGCCTCAAACCTCTCCCCCCGCCAAAAAAAAATAAAATGCCTTATACCAATGAAGCGTCTTCAGTAAGTTTGGTATCAGCAGCTTAATGGAGGTAAACTGGTCCAGGTTGGAAATGAAGGGCGTTGGAAAGATTCCTTTTTTTTTTTTTTTTAAGATTTTTATTTATTATGTATACAACATTCTGCTTCCATGTATATCTGCACACCAGAAGAGGGCACAAGATCTCATAACAGATGGTTGTGAGTGTAAGACCCCCGGAAAGCTCAGGCTTCCAGGATCTTAGCCCAGGACCGAGGCCACCCCAATCACCAGGCTGAGTCGAAAGCTTGATGCAAACTGCACGAGGCTTTATTGCTGCTTAACGAGCTAACCCCATGTTAGCTCGGGTCTTTCACCCATTCGCCATGGCGGATGGCTACAAAGACAGTTCGAAGCGGATGCATAGAGATCTTATAGGGCAGCGTAAGGGGAGTGTCTAGGTGTATGCACAGGCTCAGGATTGGTGTGCCTCCAGGCTTGGAGGGCTTGCCCTCTGTTGATTGGTCAACTGGTTGTTACGGCCCGTAGGCCCTCCCAGGGTGGTTGCTATGCTCTGCAAGTCATTGCTGTGCACTTGTTCATAAAGCACACCCAGAGCAGTAAAGCATACCACCACCAGCTAACTTCTGATTGGTTCCTTGCCACGAGGCAGGCACCTAACCTCTAGTGACCAAGGCAAGGTCAGAAAAGCATGTGTCCTGCTGTTATGGGTGCTGAAATGGGGAGCTGGTCCCTTCAGTGAGCCACCATGTGGTTGCTGGAAATTGAACTCAGGGCCAGTGGAAGAGCAGTCAGTGCTCTTAACCTCTGAGCCATCTCTCCAGTCCTACAAACACCACCATCTTATTATTATTTTTCCCCTGAGACGGGGTTTCTCTATGGCTTTGGAGGCTGTCCTGGAACTAGCTCTTGTTGACCAGGCTGGTCTTGAACGCAAAGAGATCTTCCTGCCTCTGCCTCCTGAGTGCTGGGACTAAAGGCATGCACCACCACCACCTGGAAAGATTCTTGAAAAGAAAAATAAATAAGTAAATAAACAAATAAGCCATAGTTGGTTGAAAGCCTGCCTGTGATGTTAGCAATGGAGAAGTTGAGGCGGGAAGATGGAGAGATCCTAGTTATTCTAAGTTACACCTTATCCAAATAGAAAGAGTTGTGTCCTTGGCATGCACATGGTAGCTGCTCAAATATTTGTTGGGTTAGTTCACAACAAAGGAGCTACATGTATGCAGCCATGCCTCCCCTATGAAAGAGCAGGCTAAGGGCAGCCAGGAGGTGGGGTGAGGGGGTAGGGGATGGGGACCTGTATCCACAGGCTTGCATCTCAGTTCTGACAGTTGGGCAAAGTCTTGTCTCCAAATTGCAGCTTCCTCACTTTGAAATGGGAATACTGACCTCAGTGCTACAGGGAAAATGTTTAAGCCTCTTGTGAAGAGCACCTAAAAAGGTGTCTGGCAGGTTTGACCAGTTCCTTTGCATGCAGACTACAGGGCCTCACTGGACTCACCTGAAGCCAAAATACAGGTGAGCCTGAGGGGGGTAGGGGGCGGGGGAGACTGTTCAGAGGAAGAGTAATAGGAGGGACAGTTCAGCCAATGTGGAGCATTTGCTGGGAGCTTTGTGTAAAAGATCAGAAAGGACAGACTGCCTCTCTGTGCTAATCTAATTATGTAAATTTAGTTTTTAAAAAAGCTTCAAGGAGTTTGAGACCAGATGAGGCAGCATGGTGAGACTTATCTCAAAACAAAATCAAAGCACATGTATACATAAATACATACATACATACAATACACTATACACACATACATGTACATAATACACTCAGACACATATACAATACACAAAGAGCATACATACACACACACAATACATAAAGGTCAGCAAAAAACAAAAACATAATACAAAATAGGCATTTGGATCTGTGCTTGTTGCCAAACCTGATGACCTGAGTTCACCAGGATCCCAGCACTCCACATGGTGGAGGAAGAGAACTGACTCCTGCAAGTTGCCCTCTGACCTTCACACAAGCTGGTACACACACACACACACACACACACACACACACACACACACACACCAGTGTGCTATTCAGATTGAAGAAGACATGGTTTTCAATAGGCAGAGGGGTGGAGAGATGGATCCAACCAGCCGTAACTCTAGGTCCGGGGGATCTGACACCCTCTCTGCCTTCCATGGTCACTGCTCAATGTGGTGTACAGATTTACACGTCAGCAAAACACTCATAGACATCAAAGAAAAATAAATCTTTAGATAGCGAAACAAAACAAACCCTAAGCCCAGATCTACTATTTGAGCCAAAATCTGATAACTCTCTCAGTGGGTCTCATTCTCCTTCCTTCTCTTTTTCTTCCCTTCTTTTCTTGCTCATAAAATAATAGTTGTCTAGGATATGTATGGTGGTTTGAATAAGAATGCCCCCCCAATTGGCTCCTTACTTGAATGTTTAGTCACCAGGGAGTGGCACTATTTGAAAGGATTAAAAGGATTAAGTGGTATGGCCTGGTTGGAGGAAGTGTGTTACTGGGGGTGGCCTATGAGGTTTCAAATATCCATGCCAGGTTTTAAATATCCACCCAGGCTCTCTTTCTGCTTACAGATAAGGATGCAGAACTTTCAGTAACTTCTCCAGCACCGTGTCTGCCTGCATGCTGCCATGCTCCCGGTCATGATAATGGACAATGTGTGAGGCCCTAGGTATGTAAGAGCCCAGTAATGGTGATAATAATATTGTACTGGGCACAATGGCTCACACACACTGGCCTGAGCAACTCTGACAAATAAATAAAAAATAAGAAGCTGGAAGTTCAGTGGGTAGAGCACTCATGTAGTTATGATGCTCCGGGTTCAATCCCTAGTACCAGACAAGATGGACCACCGTGGTTGACACAATCTTATAACCCCAGCACTTGAGAAGCAGAGGCTGGAGGCTTAGAAATTCAAGGTTTGTTTTGGCTATTTAGAGTTTGAGGTTAGCCTGGGATATATGAGACTCTCTCTCAAAAGCCATAAACAAGGACCGGAGAGACTCTCTCTCAAAAGCCATAAACAAGGACCGGAGAGATAGTTCAGACTGTTACTGTTAAAATTGAAGGCAAGCAAGTAAGTATTATGTTAATCTCTCTCTCAAAAGCCATAAACAAGGACAGACTGTTACTGTTAAAATTGAAGGCAAGCAAGTAAGTATTATGTTAATATATTAATTAAATATGATTTTTTGAAACAAGATCTTGCTATGTCACTCTGGCTGGCCTGGAATTGTCTGTGGAGATGAACTCTCAGTGGTCTAACTGTCTATGTCTCCCAAGTGCTGGGATTAAAGGTGTGTGGCACCACATTTGGCTAAATATACCTGATTTTTTAAAAATGATCTGATTTTTTTTAATTTTTATTTTTTGGGGGGGTTCAAGACAAGGGTTTCTCTGTGGCTTGGAAGGCTGTCCTGGAACTAGCTCTTGTAGACCAGACTGATCTCAAACTCCCAGAAATCAGCCTGCCTCTGCCTTCCCAGTGTTGGGATTAAAGGCATGTGCTACCACTGCCTGGCCATTATTTTTTTTTTTTTTTTTTTTGGTTTTTCAAGACAGGGTTTCTCTGTGTAGCTTTGAAGCCTGCCCTGGCACTCAGTCCGTAGACCAGGCTGGCCTCAAACTCACAGAGATCTGCCTGACTATTTTTTTTTTTTTTAATTTTTAGAGACAGGCTTTCTCTGTCAATTTGGAGCTTATCCTGGAACTTACTCTGTAGACCAGGCTGACCTGGAACTCATAGAGATCCTCCTGCTTCTGCCTCACAAGTGCCCAGCATGATCTGAATTGTTACTCAGATTTTTTAAACTATTTTGAAGAGCACAGCTTTCTCTCACTGTTAAGATGTCTAAACCAAGGAACTAGACTTAGTCAAAGACAGATCCACTTTTGGATCTGGCTTTCTGCCCAAGAGACCATCTGCTTTAAGTCTGTGCCATGACTAGAAAACTAGACAATGTTTCCAACAAACAAAAACACCAAGAAATTCTCGGAAAACTCAAAAACAGATGAGTGTGGAAATCCCAATTTAAAAAGAAGTACAGGCCAGGCAGTGGTGGCACATGCCTTTAATCCCAGCATTTGGGAGGCAGAAGCAGGTGGATCTCTGTGAGTTCAAGGCCAGCCTGGTCTATAAAGTAAGTTACAAAGTGAGTTCCAGGACAGTTAGGGCTGTTATATAGAGAAACCTTGTCTTGAAAGACAAAAACAAAACAAAACAAAAAACATGAGTACAAATACTCAAGAAAAATGTAAAGTTTCTTTGCAAGCCCTTGGAATTACCCCTGCAGGATGTGTGGAAGGGACCGCCAGAAGGCAGTTAGGTGGAGAGTCACTGGCTGAGGCAGTCCATGGGGGAGCAAGGGGTATGTCTGGGGATCAGACAGAAGCCATCAGAGCGTTTAGCAGCCCTTCTAACCCTTTAATGTAGTGGTTCTCAACCTTTCTAATGCTATAACCCTTTAATACAGTTCCTCATGGTGACCCCAACCAGAAAATTATTTCGTTGCTACTTCATAACTATAATTTTGCTACTGTTACGAATTGCAACATAAATATGTGATAAGCAATCCCTGTGAAGGAGTTGTTAGGGATTGCTAAACACAAGTTGAGACCTACTTTTAAAATTGTTTTAAGTAGTTTTAAGTAGAGCTGGCAATTTTGAGAAATACACAAAATTCAGCAAAAGAATTGAGCAAACAGTGAGTGCAATCAACACGCTGGACAGGATCAACCCATCTGCCAAAGCCAGCCAGCTGCCTGCTTTCCCATAGCTCAGGGAGTCTCTTACATTTTGCAGTCAGTTTATTGATAAGGAACTACAATGATTTTAGTGCCAGTTAACTGAATGGACCCCTTTCCTTCCTGGTCCAGTTTCATTTCTGTTGCTGTGATAAAATACCCACACCAAAGGGCAAGAAAGGGTTTATTTTGTTTATAATTAATCCCCTGTCACTGTCCATCATTAGGGAAGTCAACAAAGAAAATCACATCACAAGATTTTTTTTTCTTATTGCTTTCTCTCTCATCTAGCTGTTTCCAGTTTTATCTAGTTCAGGGCCATGCCAAGGGAATGGTGCTGCCTACAGTGGGCTAAGTCTTTTTACATTAGTTAACAACTAGACAGACCTCCACAGATAATCCCACAGGCCAAGCTAGTGTAGAGGATTCCTCCTCTGAAGCTCTTAATTCTCAGGTAATTTTAGGTCTCCGCTAGTTGATGATTCAAAATGGGAATTCATTATTGGGCTGGGTTACAGCCAGGAAGGTAAACAACTCAAAATAGCTTTAGGAAGTCCCTGAAACTGACCAGATTCACTATTCCCCTCCCTGCTAGAGTAAACAATAAAAGCAGAGCATAACCCTCAGAATAGCTGCAAAGAAGACTGTGAGACCAGACCAGCTGCCTGGAAGAAACAGAAACCTACTGAGCTGCAAGAGGCTTAGATCAACCTGGAAAGGACACTCTCCAACATGTTGAGCTGCCCGTTGAGCTGTGCCCAGCTTTGTGAGCTGTCACCCGTGCTGGAGTGAGTTTTGGTGATGCAACTGTCTTTGAGTCATTTCTATTCCTATAAGTAACCCCTCACCCATATTCATATAAGTAACTCCAATAAAACTTACGGCTCATAAAGTCTGGACTTTGGTGGTATCCATACTTTGGTCTGTCAATGGCTCCCTATCTGGGGTGAATAGACCTATGTGTAGCATCTCGCCACCCTTTCACCCCCCACCCCCCACCAAAAGTTTTATCAAACAACACATGCTTAGCATGTACAAACAACATGCAGAGCTTAATCTCTGGAGGACCTGTGGTATGGGGGGGTATTCATTTATCTCATTGCAAATCTGTATGACCTGTGCTTGTATTTAATCACTATTCTATTTTCATTTTCACCAATAAGAAGGTTGGGAAAATGGGCTCAGTGGTTAAAAGTATTTACTGCTCTTGCAGAGGATGGGAGTTCAGTTCCCAGCATCCTCATGGCAACTCACAACTTTAGTTCTAGGGAATCAAATGCTCCCTCTGGCATTGCACGGACATACATGCAGACAAAACACCCATACACATAAAATAAAAATAAATCCTTTAGGAAAAAAATGAAAAAGGAAGTTATAAAAGTGCACACCACTTGTCAATAGAAGCGCCTGGATTTGAAGCACTAAAATCTGACCATTCATGCTACAGAACTTTCTGTCAAAAACAAATAAATATCTCACCTCCCTCTCCCACCCGCCTCCAGGTGCCAGTGCCTTTTCCATTCCTAACCATTTACATTTAGCACCATCTAGTGGGATGATGTAATACAACCAGCTCCTGCTGTCGTGAGGTCCAGAAGAAAAGTACCTTTGAGTGAGGCTCTTTTGTGCTTGTGTCTCCTGGCATGGTGGAAGGAGAAGACTGCATGACACTCCCTGGCCTTGCCCTGCGGATGCTGAGGGATGCGTTTGAGCCTAGTGTATAGAAAGAAGCTCTTGAAAATCCTTGCGCAGGGCGCTATTCTAGGACAGCCTGGAGTCCAGAAATGAACCTGGCCCATGGACAGCTGGAGAGGCTCAGAATGCTACTATAATTTATTAATAAATTATATAAAAATATATAATTTATTCTGATGGTGAGGGTGGCAGTGGGGGAACCAGTCCCTGGGAATAAACCTGTCAGGGATAAATGAATGCATAAGTGCAAATCCAATCTCCACCTCCCAATTCTGCACCAGCAGCTCACAAACCCTATAGAGGCAGGGTGAGTTCCCCATGGCTGAGGGACCAAGAGGACATTTCAACCACGAAAGTGCCTTTATATTGCCAGTGTTATGGGAGTGGGCAAGTCTTCACCTGGCAATCTTCCAGTAACAGCAGCTGACAGGGCTGCTCCCTGGTGGGGCCTGGCTGTCTATTCCCTCATTCTCTCCCCACTCCTTTTCTTGTTGATTTCTGCCCCTCCAGGGACTCCACCCTTGTGTCCTCATACTGAGTTAGCCTTGTTTCTTCACTGGGTAAAGCTAAGTGGGTGTTCAGTCTGTAAGGAAGAAAGAATGAAAACAGGATTTTTTTTTTTTTCAGACAGGGTTTTTTGTAGCTTTGGAGCCTGTCCTGGAACTCTGTAGCTTTGGAGACTGTCCTGGAACTCACTCTGTAGACAAGACTGGCTTTGAACTCACAGAGATCCATCTGCCTCTGCCTCCCAAGTGCTGGGATTAAAAGCGTGAGCCACCAACATCTGGCAACAGGATGGATTTGTGTCCTGGATAGTTGCCATGCAAACTGTGACTGGACACTACCTCCCTGCATGGCCCTCCTCTAAAATGGCGTTAGAAAGACACCATTCGTTATTAAGGCAAGAGTAATCTCAAGTATGGACCACTACCCAGAGCATGTCTCTTCATCCAAGAGCAAGACCAAGGTTCAAGGTTCAAGTTCCCTATTGAGTGGGGATGGGGCAAAGGGTTGGAAAGGGAGAGCCCAGAGCTCAGATCCTCCCTATTGGACTGGGAAATCTGACCTAACTCCTCACTTTTTAGCCCCCTCACCAGGCTCACTACAGCCCATTGCCTTCTGCATAGCTAATAGGAGCCAGCTGTGAGAGATGAAGCAGGTCTTCCCAAGAGCCAGGCACTGCTCCCCACCTCACCTACAGCACAGGCTTCCTGTTCTTTTTTTTTTTTTTTTTCATATTGCCTGGGGTTGGACCACTGCAAGCCAAGAGATCCAGCAGGTATCAGAGGAAATTTAAGCCTGGTCAGGAGCAGGCTCCTTGTTTGATGTCCTTTCTTCTATACAAGGTGGAGGCAAGCAGGCTGTGGATGGTTAAAAGAGGAGGAGCGGAGGTTTGGGGGGGGGGAAATGCAGACCACAGAGGCCCTGGTAGTCTAGGTATCACTGAGCCTGTCATCTGGAGCCAGCCTGTCACATGTTTGTCCCCCCAGCCTTCCCAAGGCTGTTCATCTGTGTCCCAGAGAGTTGAAATGAAAGACTGTGAAGGTCTGAGGAAGACTGGCTTCCTGGAAGGAGTATGCAGGGATACCACCCAACACTTTTCTCCCAGTCCCATGGTCCCTCCCAGGATGTAGTGAGACCCTCTCTGAACCCCATGAACCTTGTCCTCCAGGATCCTGGGTCTGCGGCTATCTTGGGAAGGAGTTTTACAGCTGCGTGTGCTGTGGAGCCGACAGTCTTTTACCATTACAAGCCATGTGAGGCACATGGCTCTGGCCTGTGACAAGCTTTGTCTTCCCCTCACTCCTTGCACTTTTCACACCTCCTGCCTGCAGACAGCACCCAAGGCCCTTATAGACCAGGCAGCTGGGCAGGTGATCTTTGCCATCTTGTCATTGAGTAAACCATGAAGCCTGGGAAGTAAGTGTTAGACGAGAGTTGAGCCTTCTCCACAGGACCTCCCCAAGGCACCCCAAGCTCCATGCCCCAGCCCCATGGAATATAGAGGAAACACCCAGTGGTTGGGAGTCTGGGTCAGGTCTCCAGCTCCCCTGAGCCCCACATGATTAACCTGGGGGCCCATGGAAAACCTTGGCTAGGGGTTCCAATTAAGGTGCCCTCAATTTAACAGGCTGCATCTCCATTTTGTTCCTTCTCTCAGAACTCTAGTCCAGCCCCAAAAGAAGATGGAGAAAGAAAAACAGAACGGGGGCGGGGGGGAGCTGGAGGGATGGTTCAGTGGGTAAGAGCTCTTGTTGCTCCTGCAGATGACCCAGGGTCAGTCAGTTCCCAGCAGCTATATGACAGCTCCCAACCACCTGTAATTGCAGCTCCAGGGGATCCAGTGTCCTCTTCTGACCTCTGTGGGCACCAGGCACAATACATGCTTGTAGACATAAAATAAATCTAAAAATAAAGTAAAAAGGGACCCTGACCCCTATACTGGTTGTTAGACTTTCTTTACTAGTTGTAATTGCTCCTTTAGATTAGGAGTTCCCTGGGCATAAGAGTGATAGGTCTTCCATGTGTCCCCAGGATCACACTGAGGAGGTGGAGGGAGCTTTGAGGATGTTCTCCAATGAGGGACCCAGATGGTGGAAGTCACAAACTGATGAGTTCAGATGAGGGCTATGCAAGAAAGCCGAACCCCTCTGACATCAGCTTCCTCGCCTCTAAAATTAGGCTGTGACATGACTTAAGGCAGGATATGGAGAAGGACGAAGAGATGTAACACCATCCGGCTTTACAACTGAACTCAGCACCTGAAGGCAGAAGGCCAGCCTGTTGGGGCCTGTGTTAGTTAGGGTTTCTACTGCTGTGATAAAAAAAAAAAAAAAAAAAAAGGAAAGAAAGAAAAGAAAAAAAAAAGGCCAAAAGCGACTTGGGGAGGAAATGGTTTATTTTACCTTACTAAGCCTATCATCCATGGAAGTCAGGGCAGGATCTCAAGCTGAACCTGGAGGCAGGAGCTGATGCAGAGGTTATGGAGGGGTGCTGCTTACTGGCTTGTTCCTCATGGCTTGCTCAGCCTGCTTTCATATAGAGCCCAGGGTGGCACTGCCCACAGTGAAGTGGCCGCTCCCACATTAATCATAAATCAATAAGATGCACCATAGGCTTGCCCACAACACATTCTGATGGGAGTCTTTCAATGACTCTAGCTTGTAGCCAGCTGATAAAAAATCAGCCAGCACAGGGTCCAACACAAGCCTCCTTAGGACTGTCCTGCCAGAGCCCCCAACACCATATGCTCATGCTTGGCCCAGGCCTCACTGAGTATAGAGAGTACTGTGCTTGACAGTGCCTTCCATCTCAGGCAAAGTACCAGGTCATCCTTTTCTTTCTATCTTTAGAACACTATATTCTCAGCAGGGAGGTGGTGGTGTACACCTTTAATCTGAGCACTCAGGACACAGAGGCAGGCAGAGTTCGAGGCCAGCTTGGTCTACAGAGTGAGTTCCAGGACAGCCAGGGCTACACAGAGAAACCCTTTAAAAAAAAAAAAAAAAAGAAAAGAAAAAAGAAAAGAGAAAGTAACTAAAACACACAGGTCAAAGGACACAAATATTCCAAATGTTTCAGATGATCTCTGGATACCCAAACTAAAGGTGGCATCCACATGGTCTTAGAGAACAGGCTGTGGCTGTGCCCTGCCTTGCCCATCCTGTGTCATCCACACTGGCTGGCACCACCACTGCCTTTATTTACATTTCTTTGGACTGGGGAAATGGCTTGGTGGGTAAGAGTACTTGCTGTGCAAGCATGAGGACCTGAGTTCAGACCCCAGTGCTGTGTGGAGAGTTGGACACAGTCACCTATGCGCCTGTAGCCCTGGTGCTATGGTGAGTGGAGACAGGAGCATTTCTGGGGCTTGCTGGTCACTAACCTAGCCCCTGGCTCAGTGAGAGTCCTTAATTCAAAGGAATAAGACAGAGTGATTGAGCAGGACATGTGAAATCCCACTCTGGTTTCTATGCATATGCGCCTGCACGTATACACACACTGCAAAATATATATAATAAAGCTCTATCTGCATTTCTTTCAGAATTCAGGGGAACACAGTAACATATAAACTTCCACAGAGGAAAAGACA